TTCCACACCTCCCAATGGTCAGAGGCGTGTACAATAGCCATGTAATGGCCAGGCCCATGCACAATGCAGGCAGAGATGCGGGATGGAGGATTAAACAACTCACCTGGTAGAGCATGGCGTAGTTCAAGCTGGCGGTTCCTCATCGTTATTTCTAGGACAGCAATGGTAAAACCTCCTTCCCTGGTGTAATTACGATGCTCCGGCTAGGCCCTGTTGGTCTCTACACCTGACTCTTAGGACTTGGCTGCACTACTCACGACATGTGCGAAATTAGAATGAATCTTCTGCAGAACGTGGAATAATATGCCACCATATGTTTTGTCTTTTGTGCATTTGGTGAGTAGAGGCCCTTAGGGCCACTGCACGTATTCCTAAGAAAAGAAAAACGAGAAAAGAAAAGAAAAGCGAGAAAACAGAGAAATAGTGACCCATAACCGAGATGACAGACTTGGAAATCACAGCAGAATGCGGGAATCTCAGCAAGGCATTCATTCCAACGGCAAATCCCAGAAAACAGCAGTGTTCTCAGTCTGTGTTTTGGCAGGTCATTACAATCAAAACACCTCATCGTAGAACCAAACACGAAATGTGGGCACATGGATAGTGCTGCGAGTTCTGAGGGAGAGAACTGCTCATGACTTTCTTTTTTAGATCAAAACTTAGCCATGGGTAGAGGTGAAGAGAGCACAGGATAGCTGAGAGGCAAAAAGTAGTAGCTCTTACCGTGCTCCCCATGAATGCTTTGCCACTGGGGACTTGAATACAGAACTGATAAGCACTTGGATCCTTGTGCTGCCAATGCAAAGGACAACCAATAAACGACATATTAGGTGATAGAAAGCGGCAGAGGGCCGTCAGAGGGGAAAAACAAAGAAAGAACGTAACAGGACTGGTGCAGAGAGGTAGTGCAAGGGAAGGAGAGGCTTGACTCTCACACAAAGAAAGTTGACTCAATAGCATTCAGAATCTGAGAGCGAGAGGCACGAAAGAGAAGAGGAGAGAGACAGAGTGTGAGACGAACTAGACTCGACACATGAAGATTCCGGCAGCACAAAGAGGTCTTGAACCGAGAATAGAACGAGGCTTTTGATTCAAAGATGAGTGAACAGTGCTGCTGGTCGTCCGTGTAAGTACCGCGGCCAAGTGAGGATTGGGCCTGAACGGACCCAAGGTGAACTGTTGGTGCAAAGAGTACGAAAATTGAGAAGGGAACTCTGGCGCCAAACTGGCTGAGGGGCAAATCTGCAAAATTACAAGGGTACTGGGGATTTGAAAGAAAAGGCCCACGCCCAAGAGGGCTGGCTCAGTTGGTTGAGCATGTAAGTGGCACTCAGGAGATCGTGGGTTTGATATCCAACGTCGTCCTTTCGATCCCCGCGACCTCCTGGGGGTATGCTTCAGGTTCACCGCTGGAGACTGTTGGCTTGGGCCTCCTGGCTGGTTGTGGAAGTAATTGCTTCTTTCAAGCTCATGCCAGGTGTTAGGAGCTTGGGTGCTGCTCCCTGCACTGAGCAGAGATAGGTAGGTGTAGATCCATAACCTTAGGATAGCTTAGGCCTGTCTCGTGAATTTAAGCTCTGATTCTGCACCCATAAAGTAGGTGGTCCACAGTCTTCGACCCTAAACCCTGTAGTTGGCCTTCGAAACATGGAGCTGGGTTCCTTGCTGGTTGGGTTGCCATGGCCCTTGCAGATCCGGAAGGTGAGTATACCAGTTTGAGTACACAGCCCGAGGTAGGTATTGTGAGATGGAAAATAATTCAAAATATTGAGAGAAGAAAATAGCATAGGAAATGCAGGAGAACGCCTTGCCCCACTAACTCCCCCATATGGCCCAACTCCCGCACATGACTGTAATATGAAATAAGATCCGGGGCAATCTGATCCCAAAATATTTTCCTTTCGGGAGTCTGGCAAGGCCCGGTGCTCTCTCCCCTTCCATCTGCTTCAATGCAGACCAGATCTCGTCCTTAGCTAACGGATGGTCTAGTTGAATCGTCTGCTGTTCCGACAAACGTTTTGTAAGAGGCTGCAAAAAGGCTACAATCTCCTCCTCAAAGTCCTCGCTAATAGTTGACTCCCAGTGTGCACATCTAGAGGTGAAAAGATCCTTATAAAAGGTCCCCGCTGCCTGAAAACACTGGGGGTGGAAGTCAAGACACTCTCACACCCCTGCAGCGGATCGTACAAAGCCTCGGTGATCGTCCTTTGTGTGCGTGCGCAGGCCAAACTAAAGAATTTCTTATCCATTGAGCCCTCAGTTTGATGCTGTGCCATTTTTCCCCTAATACGAATGCCTTCCCATCTTTGCTCAGCAAAGGCCTGCAATTGCTGATGTATAGACTGTTCTTCCGTATAATTGTGAGTCCGTTCCTGCTGATCGTCAGACTGTGTCCGTAAAGCCGGTAATGCCTCCTGCTGTTCGAGATGCTGCAGTTTGAAGTATCTGTTTTTCCCGTTCATGTTGCCTAGCCGCTAATTGCGACGAGTATTCCTTGCATTTTTTCTTAAGAAAAAATGGCGTTATTAAACCCGTCAATTTCTTGTGGTATATCCTGTTTATATGTGTGCCAATATTTCCAACAATCTGTTATGTAGTTAACGAATGGTTTCTGCTGAAGGACAGACACATTCAATTTATAGAACCCCGACCCCTGGTCGGGTTTCTTTCAGAATGTCAGTGTGATCATTACACATCTTGTGACCTAATCCTGGATACGGGCTCCGTGGTAAAATAGCTGCCAAAAGGAGCGAGCCTTCCAGGTCTTCAGAAGTAAGAGTAATGTCCATTTTTTTTTTATTTTTATTTTTTTTTTTGCCCACAAGATTGTTTTTTTTTTTTCCTATTCCCCCGGCAAGTCAATATGGAATACATCAAAGACACACACACACTCCTCCCCATTATGGCTGAGAGGCCCGAGTAGGCAGCATTGATTACTTCCCTGAGGAAGGATGTACCACCTTTCACCCCTGCCTAATTTAGCCTGCACAACCTCTGCCTGCCAATCTCTCTGATCCCAGATCTGCTCCTCTCAGCTATGAAGCTGTCGGGTATCTATATGATTATACAAGAGCATTCTGAAACACTTATATGCCTTTTGAAGCCTCTAGAATTCTATAACAGCTTTTGGCTTGTTTCTGTCTAAGCCATAAACCCTACGCCCTCGCTCTTAAGTCTTCCCAAACCCTAAACCCTAAACCCTTAACTATAACTTCTATTTTGCTTAAACCTCAATCCATTGACCTCCACTTTCTCTCCCATTTCCTTTTTTAATTTAGCCTGAGCTAATTTTTGCCTATCAATCCTTTTAATCCCAGATCTGCTCCTCTCAGCTATGAAACTGTCGCGTAAGTCTGTTAAGTGGGAGCCATCTGGGATGCTTGTAGTGTTCTCTGAATTCTATCTCCTCAAAACTTCAAAAGCCTATTTACCTTATTTCCTTATAAACCCTAAACCCTATACCCAAAAAACCTTCACCCCTATCATTACAAACGTTTTTTTAAGACTATTTTGAAATCACCTTTTTCGTACAGTGTACAACCTGAGTTATTCCTGATTCTTAAACCCTGAACCCTATCTGAAAGTTTTTTGTGGTCCTATCCTTACTTACCGATTTCCTATTCTATGACTCCAGTCATACTCCTCTCGGCTGTGAAACTGTCGAGCTGGGGTATTGCCTTAGAGAGGGCTGGGACGTAAGTGTTGCTCTAGAGATCCCTACCATTCTAAATCCTACTCCTTCTGATTCTGTCTAGACCCTGAACCCTGAAACCCCCGGCTGTGAGCTATTGGCTATGGTGCGCTGGTGTCTGTAGAGGGGGCGTTGTGAGAGGGGGGGGGAGAGGGGGGGAGATAGGTGTGGTGGTAGGTGTCTGTGGTGGAGGGGGTGGTTGGTGCTTGGGGGGGGGGGGCGGTGGTGGAGGGAGGTGGTGGGGTTGATGGGGAGAGATGGGTCCGGGCTGTTCTAGGGTGATTTAGTGGTTGGGGGTGATCTTATGTGGGCCCAGGGGATTATAGGAACGCTTTTGTGGATGCGTTATGGTTAGTCGGTTTTAGGGGGTTAGTCTATCGTTTGGGTGGTACCGAGTCGCCCATTGTCCAATATTAGATTCATGTCCCTGCTTTTTGTTTGTGTTTCTCTTCCGGTTTCCTTATCACTTCTTCTCTTGTCTTCTGTTTGCCCTTCGTTGGTGCGTGCTAGGTGTAGGTTGGTTATTCTCCTAGGGGTCCTTTACCCTAAACCCTCTGCGCCTCCTGCTTTCCTTAGGGGCTGGGTGGGGAAATAGGTCCTTTTCCGTTCATTCCAGGTCCATAGGTGTTCTTTCGTCTGGTTCTTCCCTTGGGGTGGTTGGGCCCCACCAATCTGTAAAATGGAGGGTTCTTCCTGATACTCGTGCCAATAATCCCTTCTTTAGCCAAGCCTCCTCAAATTCTTTCTGTAATTTGTTCTTTCTCTGTGTGTCCGCTTCCTTTTCCATCTTGCTCAGGGTTTGTTTCCATTCCACACGGGTTCCTGTTTCCACCATTTGTCTTGCTTCCTCCCACGATTCATTTGCTGATATTTTCTTTTTGCTAATTGTGCCTGCGCATCTAGCTCTCCAGATTACCCACAGGGTCGTTCTTCTCAGCAGTTCTCTGATTCCACAGTCTTCTTCCGGAATTATGCCTTCATTGGTGACGGGATGAAATCCGTGTGACGGGATGAAGCTTTCTAAATGTGTTGAAAACCTTCAGCGACAAACACAATCACTAGTCATCAGCTTATCCTCCTCTATGTATGGTGGCGCAGGGGAGGGCAACTTCCATCTATCCATCCCCTGCAATCAGACTCACTTTCATTCACACTTCACATGCATGCAAACAGGTTGCGCAGCAAACTGGCGACAAGCACCCACCCGGAACTCAGAGATATGGTAACCAAGAACGCAGCTCAGATACAAGTTCACTTCAATGGCTATGGCGACTCAGCGCCCACACAACTCTCTGTTCGCGCACACAGGATCACCCTGGATATCCCACACACGATACTCTGTACGCACACACACACACAGCAAGCTATCTACAGCTATGGCGGCTATGGCCGCTGCTACCCTATCGCTATGGCTAAACTCCTTCTCTCTCGCCCACTTCGTCCTCGGGCTCACTGCAGACCACCTCGCACAAGTCGCTGTGGCAGCGCTTCCACATGGCTCACGCAGGAATGAAGGAATGGCTGGACACTGCCCTTTGATTTATACTTCTGTAGCTCGCTGGTCTGGTCCGTTCCCATGCCCGTGGTGCACACAGTCCCATGCGGTACTTGCTTGACTGGACTAGGACTGACTGGGACTGGGACTGCTGACTCAGCACCGGTAGACTCCACCACTTGCCCACTTGCCTCAGCCTAAACATGGGCAACTTCGAAAGGCCACTACTCAGACCTTCCGGAAGGCCGTAGACTTGGCCTTTCGATACTGTGGCAGCTACGACCTTGACCTTTCTGGACTGTAGCAGCTACGACCTTGACCTTTCGGGAAAGCTACAGCTACGACTTCTATACCTGACTAAGACTCCTACCCGACAGGTCTACAGATCGAACCCCTACCACCTATGGACCCCACGACAGTCTACCAACTGTTACAAATACACAGGTCACGGGTTCAACTCTTGGGGTCGACACAAATACTGTACACAGGTAAGGTGAGGACTAGGGATCGAGCCCTGGGATCTGCACTCGCTACTGCTGACAGGTGAAAACCGTTTCAACCCCATCAGGAGCCGCATTATAATCCCCGGCTATTATGACCAGTATCCCGACCGGGATCTGGGCTTTGATCCTCTCAAGGAAAGCTTTTCTTTTCCCCACCCCATTGGGAGCGTAGATGCATATAATGCAGACCACTTCTATTTCTAACATGACAAGAACCGACACCCGCCTGCCGCCCTCCTGGTCAGCCACAAAGTGAATTGGGACCGCTCGAGACTCTAGGGGAAACCGGATGGCAACCCCAGCACTCCCAGGCGTGGGAGCGTGTGCTGTGATTGCCTCATGTGGGCAGACCATTTTATGGATTCGATTATGTTCTGGTGAATCCGTGAGATGGATCTTTTGAACACAGACAACGTCAGGCCGATTTCTGCCACCCACCCCTCTCACAAGGTCCCAGATAGCCTGTTTTTTTCCAAAATTTATCGTAGCCAGTCTATTTACATTCAAGGACCCCAGATTGGATCCATGTTTTCTTCATCCAGTCACCCGGACACTATGGCGAAGTGCTATCACAGGCGTTCCCACTGTTGCTGCGTCTAATCCCCATTTTTCATTCCTGTCAACAAGCCATTTCTAAGAATAGCACATCTTGCTCGGTCCATATCTCATAAGGTCTGATCCGGACAATTGGGAGGTCCAGCAGTTGACTGGGAGCAAGCCATTTCAAGTCCGCTTCTTTGGTCAGATGAAAACGGATGAACACATCAATTTGTGCCAATTTTCTGAACCCTGCAGTAACAGCGAGTATAGCTTCTGCACCCGACTCAAAAGATTTTGTGACATGAGTGGTCAGCAGCATTTTCCAGATCTTTGTGGCATCCTCAGAGCATTGATTGCACGGATCCGCCCAATAAGAGGTCCATCCCTGCAGTGTAGCACCTGTCTGTCTACTTCCTTCCACCGTGGATAGGCCAATCTCCCATCTCTCCTCTCTCTGACGTATCGGAATCATCAGCAGCGCCTGCTTTGAGAGAGAACCCATATCCTGGCCCATTTCGACCAACTGTCTAAGGCTTTTCTTTCTTACCTGGGCCAACGGTATGTTTTCCTCAGCGTCGGACGATGCCTGGCTCAAGGCCATGGTTGTCGATGGTTGCGCTGCCACCAGTGCCTGGAAGCGAGTAAGAACAATAGTGGCTAGCCTATGCCACGCCTTTGTCCACCCCATTCCGGACGGGAGACCACTTTCCACCGCCCCTTTGAGAGAAGGACTCGAATCGAGCAGCGAAAGTATAAGATCTGTCCCAGAATTCTTCTGCCACCGGGCCATATTTCGCCCTCAAATTTGTCATTAGCCACGCGGCCACCACTATCAATTTTGGTTCCATTGACATGTGTTGCAGAGGTGTCCCCTCTTCCCCTGTTGCAGATTTGGTTTCGGGTGCAGGGCCCTCCGGAGTCATACTCGCAGAACCTGGAAGAGGGTCAATATCCTTTGGTTTTGGTCCAAAGCCCACTTCAAAAGGGTCCAACTGCACTGCCGATGTCTGAGTCTGGGGGTTGGAGAGGCCATCAGCCGACTCCAACCCCGGCGCACCAGTCTGTGTGGCCCCCTCAACCTCCATCTCAAGCGACTCTGCTTTTGACTGTTGACAGGGGCTGGTGACTGTGCCCTTTGCTTCAAGAGGACGCTGCAATCAGACTCATTTTCTTTTCCACTTCGCATACATGCAAACAGATGGTGATTCACACTAACGCACAGCGCCCACTCAAAGCTCAGAGATATGGAAAACGAGAACACAGTTCAGATGCAAATTCACTTCAACTGGCTATGGCGCATCAGCGCCTGCACAACCCAACTCTCGTCACTGTGTTCAATACCACTGTTCGCCCGCACTCAACTCTGGATCACCCTGAATACTCCCACGCACACTCACTCTATCACTTACTCGTACACACTCACTAACTCCAAACACTACAGCGGCTATGGCCGCCCCACTTCTACTGACTATGGCTACGCTATCATCTCTCAGCCCACTTCGACTTCAGGCAACCTGCAGACCACCTTCGCACAAGACGCTGTAGCAGCGCTTCCGCATGGCTTCCGCAGCGAATGAATGAATGGCTGGGCGCTGCTCTTGATTTATACTTCTGTTTGCTGCTGGTCTGCCTCTTTCTACCAGGCCCTCAGTGTGCACAGTCCCACACGGTACTTGCTAGTCCCACACGGTACTTGCTTGACCGGACTCGGTAGGACTGGGACTGGTAACCTTGACTGCATGAGGTTGCACTGCCGACTCAACCCAGTTGGACCTGCGACTCACCTACAGACCTCTATCCTCGCAGTTTCGACCTCTACACAGCTATGACCCCAACTTGACAGACCTACAGATCGAACCCCTACATCTACACAAACCTATGACAGACAATCAATCAACTACCGAAATACAGGTCACGGGTTCAAACACTTGGGGGTCAACTCAATACTGTACATAGGTAAGGTGAGGTCTGGGGATCGAACTCTAGGGCCCGCATCTGTGACTGCAAAAAGGTGAAAACTGTTTCAATGCCCATTTGTTTCACCCCTCTCTCTTCGCCCCCCTCCTTCTGCAAATACTCGATACCGGGCACACGCAGGCCATTTTCCAGGCCCTGCGCCCTTCAGCCAATAAGCCTAGAATTCAGCCTGAAAACAGGGGCCTACAGTCCCTGTGTCGTTTCAAACTAAAAATGGCAAGAGCCTTTTTAGCCTGAAACGAAGGGCTATTTTCGGTCGTTCACCAGAACGACCGGCCCTGAAACTCAGGCACCAAACCAGGGTTTCGGGAACAGGCTATTCTTAGCCTGTATCCACGCCAGCCTCAGCAGATGCTGCAGCGCCAGCCCCTGGCACACTTCGGCATTGGCAAGAGCAGCCTCCTCGGCCTGGCTGGCCGTTCAGGCAGTCAGGAGGCAGGCCGTGCATTGGCAAGAGCAGCCTCCTCGGCCTGGCTGACCCTTCAGGCAGTCAGGAGGCAGGCCGTGGATTGGCAAGAGCAGCCTCCTCGGCCTGGCTGGCCCTTCAGGCAGTCAGGAGGCAGGCCGTGGATTGGCAAGAGCAGCCTCCTCGGCCTGGCTGGCCCGTAGGAGGCAGGCCGTGGAAGTATATAGGTACCCCCCCAGGCACTTCACGATTCATTGAGGAGGCAGTAGTCTTCAGGATTCGGGAGCAGCACTCTGGAGGGAGCGCTGCGTTGTAGTAGTGGTAGAGTTAGCTTGTAGTCTTCAGCGCTGGGCGCAGTAGGTAGCTGTAGTCTCCAGCGCTGGGCGCCATAGCTAGGATAGTGTTAGAGAGAGAGAGAGAGAGAGAGAGTTTGGGCGGAGGCCAGGAGTACTTACCTGCAGCGCTGTTGCTCCAGCTTCGTCTTCGAGGTACCTGCAGCACAGCGCCCACATCACAGGTTAGTATCTGGTTCGTAACAGTGAGAGAGAGAGTCTTCTTCTTCCTCTTCTCAGTCCACCATCTTCTTCTCTCCCTCTCAACATCTGACTTCTCTGCATCTGCAGACTGCGAGAGAAGAGAGACAGAGCTTGGTGACATTGGATCCAGACTCGACTTTTGGGGGCTTCAGACAAGGCAACGAGGGATTATTTGGGATTGGTGACCAAGACTTGGTGTTAACGACATTCCCATCACTCTCCCTCCTTTAGTCTGTTCCCTACCTCTTCGTCTGTGTATGTCTGAACCTGGCGCTTCTTCCTGTGTACAGCGCCAGGCTCCCTCACACTCGGTGATGGGTATGATGCGTGTTTGGTCTGGGTTCAAACATTGATTGGGCTTGTTATCAGTATTCTAGCATTCTGCTTTGCTACTTGTTACTACGTGAGTGAGGTCAGTCCTTGTCAGGTCAGTCCTTGTATCAAAGTCTTCCCTGCGCTATTCAGCACCTTTAGTATGTATGAGAATGCNGTCCACCATCTTCTTCTCTCCCTCTCAACATCTGACTTCACTGCATCTGCAGACTGCGAGAGAAGAGAGACAGAGCTTGGTGACATTGGATCCAGACTCGACTTTTGGGGACTTCAGACAAGGCAACGAGGGATTATTTGGGATTGGTGACCAAGACTTGGTGTTAACGACATTCCCATCACTCTCCCTCCTTTCGTCTGTTCCCTACCTCTTCGTCTGTGTATGTCTGAACCTGGCGCTTCTTCCTGTGTACAGCGCCAGGCTCCCTCACACTCGGTGATGGGTACGATGCATGTTTGGTCTGGGTTCAAACATTGATTGGGCTCGTTATCAGTATTCTAGCATTCTGCTTTGCCACTTGTTACTACGTGAGTGAGGTCAGTCCCGGTCAGGTCAGTCTTTGTATCTAAGTCTTCCCTGCACTATTCAGCACCATTTTGTATGTATGAGAATGCACATTGTCTGTTGAGATTCTACTCACACCGCATTGTCCATTCAGTCCTTTTCATCACATTGCAGATCCTCAGTTATTACGTACATTGCATATCTGTGCATGTAACACGGGAGGACCAATATCCCCCGACCGCATTTTCTCTTGCTGCAAGCTTTGTTTGGCAGTAGTTTACTACAGCATGCTGATTATCTATTCCTTGCACACCTTCTTTGCTCTGAGTGTTTTCTTCAAACTAGAAGCTGTTTTTTTCTTTCATTTTTGAATTTTTTGTTCCAAACTGTCTAACATCTAAATCGCTCCCAATAATTTTTTGTTTTTTTTTTCCCCTGTTCCGGGGCATTGAGCCTTTCGTATTCGTTGCAACCATCAACCTCGTGAGGAATAATATCAGATTTTTGCATTCGGAACCAATGTGATCATTATTGCTTTTCTGAGGGCATTGTCCTCATGCGGAACGCACGTATTACGTACAACAATCCTCATCAGGCCAGAGGACTCAAGGATGAACCCCGAACTTCCAAAACCAAAAAAATAGGCAAAAAAAGGAAGCGTGAAAAAGATGTCTTTTCGAGCATCAAAGTTGATCAAACCCTAACCGCAACTAGGCCATTGGCTGCAAGATAAATAGAGGGGAGGAATCAAGCCCTGTGTGACAAGGCATTTGGGTACGAGAGATTGCCTTCATAAGCTCCAGCAGTAAGAAAGGATCAACGGCGTCTTCCAGTGTGAGTGCCGTCTGCCTTGCCATGACCACCTGCAATATTTGGACCAACCAAAGTAATAAAAGAAGAACAATCAACGAACAGATAAGTCCCAGAGAAAGCATCGAAAAGAACCCAAAAACCACAGGACTCGCAAAGGACAATAGAAGCAGAAGAACAAAACCTCAAGGCCAACTGAAGAATCAAAGTATAGTAGTATACAAAGAAGGATCTGTGTGAACGGGAGAACTGGGGAAATTCTTCCCCAGTTCTAGGAATACAGCCAGACGATCAGATGGCCACGCACGTTCCTTTATTCCCAGAATCACAGAAAGAAGCACATCTAATTGCAATGACTTGCTGGTTCCAGTGGCCTGTAGCCTCTCTTGTCGAGGCTGTACTATAGGTAGGATAGATTCGTGATTTTGTTTGGATGAGGGCTAACCAAGAGACCTACCTGTAGGGAAATTTTTGAGGGACATATCTGTAAATTCGGGGGAAAAAACACAGGCCCGTACTAGCTGAAATTACCTACAGCTACCCTAACTGCGAATAGCAGGCCCGGGCTACCCCTAGGACAGACAGGCCCTGAAGGCCTATGCCGATAGATGGTCCTATAGCCTATAGCCGGGTAGGTAGAGGGCCTAGAGGCCAAGAGGCCGAAACTGAAACAGTACCGGTCGGTCCAGTCAGCCCGGTCTAGGTCGTGCCTAGGCTAGTGTACGTTATAGATAGAAAGAGGACATCGGTTCAGGGCTTTGGCAGTTGGTACCGTGTACGTCGCTGCCGTGCAACGCGTGAACTGGAAGTGGTAACAGCTTCAGCGTTGAGGAGGACGGACAAAGCCAGACCTGCGGAGTGTCGGCCATAGCTGCGACCGGCACTGTACTCTGACAGCACGCGGGGCTGTCCAGAGGTCTGGGCTATCCGAAGTCTGCTGGAGGCGAGAGAAGTTAGTGCCCTGCTGGACCCTCCTCAGGAGTAGGGTTTCAGTGTGTTGGCGCTGCAGCCATAGCTGCAGCTATGTCCCTCAGAGAGCATCTTTGTCAGGAGAGGTGGCGCTGCTGCAGACTTCCACCCGGGAAGTCATCCAGCACTTCATCATCATCAGGCACTGTGCGACTGGTCTTCTTCTTCATCCTCTGAGTGCCGCTTGGCCTCGGAGGCCTGTTTCAGGATGACGCTTCCCTCTGGAGGCTGTATCTGGGTGGCGCTTGATGTTTCAGGGGCTCAGTGGTAGTTTTAGCGGTTACTCTGGGTTGGGGAGTGAAGCGCTGCTCATTTCTGAGCAGTGCACCATAGTTCTGGGGTTATTCTGACAAACCGAGACTTGAGTTTAATAAACAGGGTTGATACTGTGTGTGAACTATCATTGTTTCATTGTTTCCTCAATGTGATCTACTCGGCTTTCCTTTGTGACTGGTTGTGATTGGAAAGGCCAATCAAACTCGGAGATAGCTGGTTTTCTGTGAAATCTGTTGAGGCAGAACGTGTGATCTTCATCGCAAGAGGTAGAGCACTTGATGGGCTAGGGTGGCCCAATTCTTGACCAACCCCAAGGAAACTCCGAAATATTTGCAACTGAGCATCGCGCAGACAGACCTTGCTTCCACATGGGTCATACAGGTTTCATTCCTGGAAGCTACATTCCGGGTAACATCTGATTCAAAGCCAAGAAGGCAGCTTTTGCAGGAGGATGGTTGTTACAGGCCAGAACCGCCATGATAAATGACAAGAGGCAGAGATGCGGGCAAGATGGGATGCCACATAAGGAGTGGGACGAAGTCACTTCAAAAGTGAAGTCTACGAATGCAACCAAACCAAGTCATGCTGGAAGCAACACCTCTTTCTTCCGGTACATGTTGGAAACACCGAACTGGCAGTCTCATGGTTGGTGAGAGCAGGACGCATAAGGAAAAGGCTAGCTGGCAGCATCAACCCTCTGGAAACGGAGTAATCAATGATGTTCAGGGATCGTTCAGCCTTGATGGAAAGGATTTGTTCCTAACAGTTTTGTTGTATTGTTTGTCTGACTTCCATGTGGGCTCGTGCTAAAAAAAAAAGAAGGCAATGCATATCTAATTATGATTTCTCATCGCAATCTTTTATCTCCAGCCACAGGCGATCCGATTACTTTACCTAGTCAAGATGAAAACTAGAGATGATTGGAAAGGCCAATCAAACTCGGAGATAGCTGGTTTTCCGCGAAATCTATTGAGGTAGAACGTGTGATCTTCATTGCAAGAGGTAGAGCACTTGATGGGCTAGGGTGGCCCAAAGCTTGACCAACCCCAAGGAAACTCCGAATACTTGCAACTGAGCATCGCGCAGAAAGACTTTGCTTCCACATGGGTCAAACAGGATTCATTCCTGGAAGCTACATTCCGGGCAACGTCTGGTTCAAAGCCAAGAAGGCAGCTTTTGCAGGAGGATGGTTGTTACAGGCCAAAATCGCCATGATAAATGACAAGAGGCAGAGATGCAGGCAAGATGGGATGCCATATAAGGAGTGGGCTGAAGTCACTTCGAGAGTGAAGTCTACGAATGCAACCAAGTCATGCTGGAAGCCACACCTCTTTCTTCCAGGATGCATGTTGGTCACATCTAACTGGCAGTCTCATGGTTGGTGAGAGCAGGATGCATAAGGAAAAGGATAGCTGGCAGCGTCAACCCTCTGAAAACGAAGTAATCAATGATGTTCAGGGATCATTCAGCCTTGATGGAAAGGATTTGTTCCTCACAGTTTTGTTGTATTGTTTGTCTGACTTCCATGTGGACTCATGCTAAAAAAAAAGAAGGCAATGCATAGTTGTCTAGCAAACTCCTACCTTGGTAAGAGGCATGGAATCAACATTAGAGAACCCTGATTGCACTAACTGAGTTAAGGCCTCTAAAGGCGACAAGGACGTGGTCAGATCCTCTGAGCTCTGCTTCTCTTGGATCGCCTGAAGCATTTCCTGAACAGTGTCATGCCAAGCTGCTTCATCTGGTGTGTGTGTGCTCTTGATAGTCTCCCAAGCGCGCATGGGTGAGCCTCGAAACGACTCATTTACATTCCTTCCCACCTGCACATGACATCAATTAAAGTCCGCAGGACAGGGGCAACTTAATGATTTGTATTTCATGTACGGACTTCAAAGAGAATTCTGTGTAATCGAGTTGATTGCAATCAGACTTGTCTCGATCTCGCACCGCATGCACGCAAACAGATGACAAACATACTTGGCTCGATTGAGCCCACACAACGCTCAGAGATAAATTGTGGCCAGGAACACAGCTCAGATTCAAACTTGTCTTGTTGGCTATGGCGCTGGGCACCAGACAAAGATTCACACCCGATCAACTGTATCCTCCAGCAACTTGTTCGCACACACACACGCTCACTCTCGGATCACCCTGGATGTCCTGCACATACACGTTCAACACACACACAAACACACACACACACACACACACACACACACACACACACACACACTATCATATCCTACGTGGCAGCTATGGCTGCCGTCTCCCTCCTATGCTACCTCGCGGATATGGCCGCGTCTTCATCTTCTTAGCCCTCTTCTTCTACAGGCACCTGCAGACCTCCGTAGCACAAGACACTCCAACAGCGCTTCCTCACGGCTCACAGGCAGAATGAATGAATGACTTGACGCTGCCTCTTTATTTATACTTCGGACCATCGTAAGTCTGCCCTCGGACCCTGGGCCCGGCGTGTGCACAGTCCCACATGGTACTTGCTGACTAGACAAAGTGCACCTTGGGACTGGGTACCGCTGACTGGGCTAGGTAGGACTAGGACTGCGCTTTGCTGACTGTGCTAGGGTTGCCCTCTGCTGACTCAGACGTGGACTGACTCCTAAGATACGACCTATACTACTACTATGACTCCTAAATCTAAAGTCTATGGGCCAACCCCCGGGGCACCGCACTATATCCAACAGCCGAACAGACGACTTTCAGGATACAGGTCGCGGGTTCAAACTTCAAACACAAGGGACTACCGGGCACTGTACATGGGTGAATGTGAGAGGTCTAGGGGAATCGAGCCCTGGGTATTGATCTGTCACCATAATAGGTGAAAACCATTTCATGATTCCACTTGAATGGCAAATACTATCTTTGAGCTACATCTCATGTGTGCTTTGGTGTGTACGTCATCTTGTGCATGTGTGAAGTGAAAGTTCCGAGTGCAGTCTGTCTCGAAGCACAATCCCCATTTTGCGTTAATGTTACTTGATAAGACTAGGGGACCTGTTGCAGCTACGTCCGTAATACAAATGGAATGCTTGCCAAGAAGTTGATGGACTCTCTCTCTCACACACACACACACACAAAGATGGCTATGGACTTTCTCTCTCTCTGGTTCGCGCACACGGTTGTGGATTTTCCACTTTTTTTTCCTTCTTTTTAATTGGTCACGATGGACCATCCTGCTCAAGCCCGTGTCTACTCCCTCCCTCTCCTGCCT